TCAGGGTCTCTGAAAATGAAGAGAATCACTGGGCTCCCTTTTTATTAGATTTTTATTAAGATAACTGAACAACTGTTTTTTTCTGTATGATATGTTCATTTCAGAGACTATATGTTAGTCTAACGGACACTACGAGCTTGGTGATAAACGCTATGGCGCATCGAGAAAAACAAAATAATTTGTAAGGTCGGGAGATCCAGGTAAGAGTTAGCCGGGAAGCGAGAAACACGCTACAGGTAACTGTTTTGGGCCTTTGATTCTAAGGTTAGGAGTGAGTGAGTTGGGTTTGATGACGCTTTTAACGGTATTACAGGTATATCACAGCATGTCAACTTATTGTGGGAGGAAAGACCCGAAGTGATGCATGTCTCAGTCGTTTACCACTTTGGTGAAACCCACGAGCATGGGTATGGTGCTGACACACCGAGAAACATAATCGCGACGCGGCTAGGGTTGGAATATCTCTTTTGACTTCCACGTTTACCATTTGTGTTAAATCCTCAAGAACGCTAATGTTGAACACAGACCAAGATTCAGAATAGGCGTACGGGGATTCAAACCCATCAGCAGATTCTGGCACGAATAAGGGACGCAACTCCGTCTATGTCAAATTGTAAAGAAGAATAATTGCATATATTTTCTGTTTTTTTGTCCTATTTGTGTCCTATGAATTAGTGCAAACACACATTCTCAAGTAACTAGGATTTCATTCCACATTTAGCTGAAATAATTGGAATCATGTTGAAAGCAGCGTGAAACCAACTCACACACTCACTCAAGTAACTACAGCGTGGCTTGTTTAGTGTATCATCGTCAGTGTTTAACTGCCGCGAATACGCGTAACGTTAAGTAGTATTCACTCACTCACTCGACCCGTGAAGATCCGGGTTGGAATAGGTCTCCAGCAACCCATGCTTGCCGTAAAAGGTGACTATGCACAATCTAACGCTTTGAAAGCGTTATTGTAGCCTTGACTTGTTATACGCATCCCTTACTGTTAACACGAAGATACCCGTGAAGATCGGGTTGGAATAGGTCTTCAGCAACCCATGCTTGAGAAAGGCGACAACCACATATCAGCCTCATGTGTTTACGAGTGATGTAGTAGACCTGTGACGATCCGGGTTAGAATAGGTCTTCAGCAACCCATGCTTGCCATGTAAGTGGCGATTCTGCTTGTCGTAAAAAGCGACTAACGGGATCGGGTGGTCTGGCTCGCTGACTGGGTTGATGCATGTCATCGTATCCCAATTGCGTAGATCGATGATCATGATGTCAATCACTGGATTGTCTGGTCCAGACTCGATTCTTTACAGACCGCCGTCATATAGCTAGAATACTGCTCATTGGATCCATAAACCAGCTTTTCAATGTATGGCTGTCAAATGTATAATGTCCGACTGTCCCCGAGAGAAATGACCGACCTCGAAATCGAGATTCAATACTTATATCTCCCTTGTTAAACAAATGATGTGCACGTGCAGGCGCCACACTACACCAGGCCATGCCACACCAAGTGTCCCAGTTTCAAACACGCGGTAGCTGACATGACCGTATTTTTTATTCGCGTTGTATTTAGCTTCGTCTCCTTCATCGCGGGTCACATTACAAGAAGAAGCGATCTCATCCGCTATCATTTGATCTAGGAGATTGCAGAGCGAGCGACGTTAGACACAATGCAGGAAGGTTTCAAAAGCGAAATCTCAACGAAAGTGCAACGCGTGTCTTGGGTGTTTGCGGAAACGTGGCTTCAGTTGAGAAGGTTGCCAGTTAGAAAATCAATATGGGTGTCTCTTTCGGGGCAAGGGTGTCGTATTCAGGGCGATAAAACAACAAATACGCAGCACTGCATGGGTCTCTTAGAATTTCTAAGGCGAAACGAGATTGAGTATTTAGATGATACATCTGTGGTTATTAGCGAACATTATAAACGTGGCCATCGTTCAACACTTACCAACTCTAATATCTTAGATTTTATATGTTTGATCTTTTAATATGATTCAACTACTCAGTACTTTGAATCGGTCGCATGTTGTCTGAATTATTCATTTGTACTAATACGTATTAGCATTATTAGTATTAATATTAACGGACTACCATTAAGGGACCGATCATTTGATATTCGAGGGGTTGGAGGAGGGTTGCTGGTAATTTTGTCTTGAGATTAGATTTTATTTGTAAATAGAACTATGAGCATGAAAATATTTTGTGACTATTTCTGGGATAATTTATTTTTGTCATTTAGTTTCAGCCCTCCCCTCAACTCCCCATCCCCCAGAATAGCAAATGGTCGGTCCCTTAGCCTAGAAATGTGCACAAGACATTGTTCATCGTGCCATGCATGCTTGGTGTATGCTCTAGAGCTTGTGTTTGACCTTTACAGATGGAATTTACATCTTCAGCAACTGAAAAAAAGATAGCAAATAATACAGACTAATAAAAGGATAGAAGGTTATCACATTCAAGTCGTTGTAATTCATCTTCATGAAGAAGATGGAGACGGTTGCACTTTAGCATATTTAACCTAGTTTGTGGTTGACATTTTAAACATATGAATGATAGCACAAGCCTGTCTTACGGTTTCTGAACCATATTTTTTCCCTTCCACCCAGCCCTTACTGTATGTAATGCTGTAGATTTAAACAAAGTAAGTCTAGATTTTTCACAGGTTCAGGATCTCCGTTAGACTAAAGCTTAGTCTCTGAAAATATAAAATTTGGATAGAAACAAATAACTCCGTTTGAATTAAAAAAGAGCCCCCAGTGAGATGAGAGATTCAGACCTGAGGAAAATCTAGACTTGCTTCATTTAGGGCTTTTGCATTACAGAAAGAACTGGGCGGAAGGGAAAATAATATGGATCAGGGACTGTGGGACTCTTCTCACTGGGGTTCCTTTCACATTTAACTAAATGCTATTTTCTATCAAAATTCTGTTTTCAGAGACTCAATGAAGTCTATGATACTCCCAGTATAAGTACATCTAGTGTCGTTAATGAGTGAGGTAAATCGATGTAGGAGGGTTTGGTATCACAAAGGTGAGTGAGTGATGGGAAAAAAGTACGGACTTTACACGTTTTGAATATTATTTCAGTAGATTTTCCCGTGGCACCTTCATGTGCATGGTGGGGCGGTCGGGTAGCCTAGTGGTTAAAGCGTTCGCTCGTCACGCCGAAGAACCGGGTTCGATTCCCGACATGGGTACAATGTGTGAAGCCCATTTCTGGTGTCCCCCGCCGTGATATTGCTGGAATATTGCTAAAAGCGGTGTAAAACCACACTCACTCACTCACTCACTCACTCATGTGCATGGTGAGCCTAATAGGGCTCGTGTTCATAGACGCTTTGATCTCCGCTGAGTGTCACCAATCTATGCACCGTGCAGTCAGAGTCAATAGCTCTCCTAATTAGCGGTCACCACAAGAATGAAACCTTGGAATCTACGCGATTTTTACGAGCCACGTGTTAAACTAGACCGAAGTGAAGGACCCCGTTGAACAAAGCGATCGTAGCTCGACGACTGTTGTAAATCTGTGTTAAAGCATGAGAGTTACGATCCTCTTAGCGCTGCGACTGTTGTAAATCTGTGTTAGAGCATGAGAGTTACGATCCTCTTAGCGCTACGACTGTTGTAAATCTATGTTAAAGAATTGGAGTTACGATCGTCTTAGAGCGACGACAGTTGTAAATCTATGTTAGAGCATGGGATTTACGATGGTCTTAGCGCTACGACTGTTGTAAATCTATGTTAGAGCATGGGATTTACGATGGTCTTAGCGCTACGACTGTTGTAAATCTATGTTAGAGCATGGGATTTACGATCGTCTTAGAGCTACGACTGTTGTAAATCTATGTTAGAGCATGGGATTTACGATGGTCTTAGCGCTACGACTGTTGTAAATCTATGTTAGAGCATGGGATTTACGATGGTCTTAGCGCTACGACTGTTGTAAATCTATATTAGAGCATGGGATTTACGATGGTCTTAGCGCTACGACTGTTGTAAATCTATGTTAGAGCATGGGATTTACGATGGTCTTAGCGCTACGACTGTTGTAAATCTATGTTAGAGCATGGGAGTTACGATCGTCAAAGCTACGACTTGTAAATCTATGTTAAAGCATTGGGGGGGGGGGGGGGGGGGGGGGGTTGGATGATGATCGTCAATCACTGGATTGTCTGGTCCGGACGATTTACAGACCGCCACCATATAGCTGCAATATTTCCGAGTACAGCGTTGAACAGGAAAACCCTACATCAAACAATGGCATGACACGTTGCTCTCATAATACTATAAATCTCTGGATTAAATATTTTACAGTCCGCTGTCATACAGCTGAAATATTGCCGAGTGTGGCGTTAAACAACAAACAAAGAACTCATATATTTTAGGAGGCTGACCTTCAACCTCATGTCTTCTAGTTCGTTGACATGTCGTGGCCCAGCTGTGGCCTTTGTTTGACATAGGTCTGTTTAATTGTACAGTTTTATGATGCCCAAAGAACAGTTTATGTTACGAAAATATATTCGAGGACCTGGCTGATGTTTATTTTCTGTGTACACTTATTCGGCATAACATACCCCTCCCCCAGGAATGCCGCTGAGGCAGCCTTGAAACAGCGAACTTCGCACCTTGAACTTGGGGTCTCTATCTGCCCCTGGGTGTTCGGCGTGACGAGCGAACGCTTGAACCACTAGGCTACGCCACCGCCCCGCGACGTTGAAATCCATTACACCCCACCTCACCTTTCGGACGGTTGGGTAGTCTAGTGGTTAAGCGCTCGCTCGTCATACCAAACACCCAGGTTCGATTCCCCACATGGGTACAATGTCTGACGTCCATTTCCGGTGTCCCCCGCCGTGATATTTCTAGAATATTGCTAAAAGCGGCATACAACCCTTCTCACCCACTCACCTTACATTTAGAAGAAGGGATAGCCTGTTCTGAATTTCAACTCATGTATGCACAAATAACTATTTCCACTTTTTTCGGTATTTTCAGGAAGTCTGAAGCTGGCAGGTCGGCGAATCAAGCTGGAGTTGATAGACACAGTGGAAGAGGTAACACCGTTTGAATCAGATGAATGTTAGAACCGATATGAAGGCTTTGAAGGATGAGGCTTACAACAGACATAAGTAACAGAGTATTTCTACATAGACTGCGAAGATAAAATAGCTTTATTGAAAAGAAATATACACGAGTGACGTTGACCGTCTGTCGTAAATTCTGCAAAGTTTATTAAAATTCTGGAGTTTATCAAACATGTTTTTTCACAGAAAACAGATCTGATTTCATTCGTAGGCCAAGACAACGATATTGAAAAGTCATTGAAGCAACAATTGATTTGTTATATATGCAGCAATGATCCTATGTCGGAAACTCAGTTCAAACATGGCCGCTGTGATAGCCATTTTGGATGCAAACCTTTGCCCCTCAGCCAGAATCCTTCAAAATTATAGCCTGTCGGACACTACTCTTTTTTATGGCTTAAATCGTAGTCGTTTGTAACTGACCCTTGTGGTGATTACTAATAATGTCCAAATGAACAATATCCAGGTGAGCTACAGGGAATATACGAAGTATTTGTACACTATATTGTCTCATATTGCCAGTTAATTAAAACAAGTCATGCAGAGAAATCAGCTGTCACCCTATTACTATCACAGATGCTATGTACAACACTTTTGTGAAACATATTGATTTATGTGATTACGGTCTGTCATAACATGAGGCGATACATATTTCAACACAACTTCCCCCTTCGTATCCGGCTTTATGTTCTGTCTTCTTTCCTCCGGGTCAAACAGTTGTTTGTAAACTGAGACTTTTCCCCTATTTATCGGTACATATAGCTCAAGGCGGTAAGAAAACCCCATAAAATGTCTAATGACCGATCATATGGTGATGAATTTCAGTGCAGATGTCAATCATAGTAGAACTGAGAAAAAATGTAAGGTCAAGGCCATGTCATCACGTGACCAGACTTGAACTCCGCAGCATCACGTACACAATGCAGATAACGCTGACCGCCCAGGTAACTCGAGATTGTTATCGTACACCTGACCCTTGTCATGTGCCCCACCACGAGTCAAGGTTAAAGTGCAGTTTTGTTTTGTCTGCTGATGTGGTAATACGTAATGCAAACATTTTATCTCGTGCTTACTGAACGTACATAGCAACGTCAGCATCAGCGGTGGAAATGAAGGTCAGATTCTTACGTTGTGCGTGCCTTGTATATGTTATGAAAGATTGCTGAAAGACAAGGATGATTAGAATAATGATAATAATAATAATAGTAATAATAATATCGGTGTGATAGTAAAAACCAGAGGTAAACGACCATTTTACAGCCCCTGCCATATTACTGTTTTTAAACTGCGGCATAAAACATCATTGGATGACCACATCTACGTTCCTCAGTCTTAACGGGTGACCGGCAGACTGTCACTCGGTGTTATGTTCCAAACCTTGCCCAGTAACTGTCAAGGCCCCCGGATATACAGGAAAGAACTGGTATTTAATCCTGACCAAGCATGAACAAATTAAATACTGCCAGTTGAACCGCATAAATATGTCACTCATGATGCAGCTTGAAATCCTCGCTTCAATTTCAGGTTTGTTTTCAGTTGCGTTGTCGGTGTCTTAACAAGAATGTCATAGCGCTCTATACTCAGGCGGTGCAGACGCACCGAAATTGGACGCCCGTGCTAAACAATCCCAGACACGTGGTTAGTTTTTAAACATCCGACATTTTGAAGGTCAGCATGCCAATGCACTCTTACAAAGTGAATCAGAAGTGCATCTATTCTCCTTATTCCGGCTTTACCTACGCAAACAGTACATTTGTTTGCCATAAAAAATAAGCCCGCTATACCTTGATCCGTTTGGCATGACAAGCACCAAGAACATGTTCTGTGTTCTGATTCATGCGATAACAGTTAGCGACCAGTCTCTTGACTTTCTGGTTTGAAAAGGTGCCAAAAACCTCCAACCTTATCCTTTGTTGTCAGTTCCTGGATTCCATAGCTCCAATGGAGACACACACGCGCGGCGCTCGAATATCATTGTATTCCTCACCCTTGGACAAATAATCAAGATCTGTTTTTACCATTAGGAGATAAAATACGGCCAATTTTTATCGCACAAAATCATCCCGTTTGTTCGATCAAACTGGTTAGTGTATCGCGTGTCATACAGTCTCTCATGTCTGTGTGCGTGTCGGTGTGGAAAAACCCAGGGGGCGGGGGTCCGTGTTCCCCCTCATTCTCGTGCAGCTTTTGAACAGGTGTAGCAAATCTAACGAGCGAGCCTGAAGCTAATAGAACCGTTCAAACTCTTACAGGAATTTGTTTACGTTCTCCAGCGTGTTTTTTTAAGGGCCATGATTATTGGAACACATACTCAGAATGTGCATGCCATGCTGTTTCATAACCCATGTCAACTACAAGACTTATGTACGACTCTTGTGTTTCATCCATCTATAATGCACTACTGGCTACAAACATTGAAAATTTTAAAACATTCGCTTCCCTTATAGATGTTCGATTTGATAACATCATGCGATATGCCAGTTCTGTTAAAGGGCTTGTGAGATTAAGTAATCCAATCGAACAAGCAAACTACGGTTAGGGAGAGTATCAGTGAAGTAGGTCCTTGGCATTGACGTTTAATTCTAGATTTGCACGGGTGGCCAAGTTGTCTAAGGCGCGCAATTCGCTGTGCAGTGTGGCGTCCCTTCAGCGCGACAGGAAACTATGATAGTGGGTTCGAATCCCGGTTTGCTCCGATTATGTTTCCAGGTTTGTAACCATACTATTGCTCGTGGGTTTCACCGAAGTGGTAAATGTCTAAGACCTGCATCACTTCGGGTTTTCTTCCCACTGTAAGGTGACACGACGTCATGTAACTCACTCACTCTAGATCGGTTTATCACAATGGCATACAACGCATGTCTTAAATTCTGTCAAAAATGTCGAAATAAGAGAGTATTCAAATTTAAAATTGATTTGACAGTTTTTGTTCGCGTGAAATTCCTAATTGTTTTATAGTTTTTAAGAATTGTAGAAAGGTCTTCATCTGTATAAACAGAGACCATATATGCGATCTCTTTTTAAAAAAGATCCCCAATATGTTAATTATCAAGACATATAACTATGTATCTAAGTTTGTCAGCACCATACCCGTGCTCGTCGGTTTCATCAAAGTGGTAAACGTCCGAGACATGCATCACTTCGAGCTTGCCTCCCACATCAAGCTGACAAGCCGTGATATAACTGGAATACTGTTAAAAGCGGCTTTAAAACCTAACTCACTCACTCACTCAAGACATATCAAGTCACATTTCCCTTGTTTTACTGTTGCAAACTAGCACTGCATCTATCTCATGCACATGTGTAGATGGCCACACAGAAGGATGGGGATGTGCAGTGAAGGCTGTTTCTGAGGCCGCTTGAGTTTGTGGTAATTACTTCCATGGCTAGAACTAGTGGAACCTATCAATGGGCAGCTAATACAAAGTGATGTCGATCAGGCATTGTTCCAACAGACCTTCCCCCTAGGCCATATGGTAATCCCGACCATAACAGAAGGCCTTTGTGGACATTTTCCCGAAACATGAGGAAGCCTAGATGTCTGGCGACCCTATGCATATGTTGTGACTTCACTTAATAGCGGAGAACAGCGCACCTGTGATCATTACGTTTCGCCATTCCTTATTGCATCCTGTCAAACGATAACAGCAGCGCTTTGTACATTTTCCACGATACCCCTAGTTAGGGCTGTATTCTTAAAATGAACGCCCCCTAACGAGCATTCCCACAAACGTGCTATATACACTCAACGCGGTTCCATTACACGGACCATCAGCCCAGAACGAGTGTTCAGCGATAAAGTTCTATATTCATCATCGGGGTCTTGATTCATGTATCATAGGCCCTGATCGAGATTACGTAGTAGTTTGCTGTCGACGTACTTGATACGTGGTTTCATTCTTTTAGTATAATGTACTAGAAAAGCTATCTCAGCCGTGTTGCTATGGAAACGAAACAGCTGATTTAATGTTGAAGGGACGGCAGTCGGAGTAGGCTAGTCTCGTCAACGACGGCGATGGGTAGTTAGTCATTCGATTCCGCGTTAGTGTGTTCGTTGTCTCATCATGGTGATATATGCAAACGGGCTTTGTGATATTTTCTTGCAGAAGATTGAATTAGTTTTCGCTTGTTCATGTGTATGATGTTGAATGAGTTCTAGGTGTCTTGTGGCACAATGACAGTTTCAGGGCTTCTGTACAATGTCTACATGTCTATCAGTGCATCCTATGCATTTAAGGGTGGATGGGTAGCCTAGTGGTTAATTCTCAACATGGGTAGAACGTGTGAAACCATTTTCTGGTGTCCATTAACGTGGTATTGCTGGAATATTGCAAAAAGCACAAACCCCAGCACACTCACTATGCATGAACTATTGTAATTGTTTTAAGTACTAAATGGTGACTTTTGTGTCCTTGAGTGAGTGAGTATGGTTTTACGCCGCTTTTAGAACTATTCCAGCAATATCATGGTTCGTGTACGTGAAATGTGGCCAGACGCATTAACACGCCTCACGTCTTGTTTCAAATCTGTACTCGAATACGTCGGTTTGTAACTATACCGTTTAATATTACAGACTTTAAAGTCAAGAAGACATTTAGAATAGCCACGTCGCCTCAAATAATTGAAATACATAAATAACCTTTCGAGTTATTGCGGTTTGGATTAGAATGCCTGATTCTGTTGAGATGTATACCATACCATCTCCGAACACCAGGCCCTTTGAATTCCGGCACTATTTCTAAGGAATAGAGGGACTGGCTCCGTTAGACCTGTTTGAAGTTAACGTTTCGTGTACCGTTTATTCCGTAGAGCAACATGCATTGTCTGTATTATAAATAAGATGATATTATTGCAATACATTCCCTTAAGGAACAGATCGATGCGATGTAATACACAGCTACATTTTTACAAACACATCGAATATACATATAGAAAGGACAAGCTTAAAGCCAAATAAAGTCATGAATAAAATGTTTTATTTGGTGGGTATATTTATAGGATTCTTTGGTTGAGATGTAAATATGAAAACAAATGGTATTGATTTAAGTGATATTGTTTTGGGAAATATATCATACTATGGTCAGCTGATTTGGGTCTGTTAATGGTGTATATAACATTCCATGTACTAGTAGCTGTTACCCGTGAAGATCCCGGTTAGAATTGGTCTTCAGCAACGAGAGGCGACTAACGGGATGGGTGGACAGGCTTGCTGTCTTATTGATACATGTCATCGTATCCCAATTGTTTAGATCGATGCTCATGATGTCAATAACTGGATTGTCTGGTCCAGACTCGATTATTTCCAAACCGCCGTTATATAGCTGGAATATTGCTGAGTGCGACGTTAAACAACAAACAAATAAACAAATCCATGTAACAGTTCGTTTGTTATTCGGCACTAATTTGCCACTAAACTCTCCCCTTCGAAGGTAACCTGACCCTCTCTCTGCTTGAGCAGATTATATCGACTACTTCCGATGGACGGGTGTGAAGGTCACTTGTGCTAAGAGTCAATTGAAACTAAGGTCAGACACAAGCACGGATCCGTGATGAAGGGTCACCGAGAGTGGTTGTTTTCTGGCGTTGACGTTTTGAATCGGGACACCACTGTCTCGTGTCTTCGGCAAGTTCTTTCACTGATCGAAGCTCACCTATATACATTTACAGCAAAAGCTGCAATAATGATGAGTGCGGCGTTAAATATTACTCATTCATTTACTTACATATTTCACCAACGCCCCCCCCCCCCCCCCCCCCCCCTTCACACACACACCCTTTTTGAAATTATAACCTGGTTCACTAGAGCGAGTGAATGTTGTTTTACGTTGCACTTCACACCGTTTTCATATAACAGGGCTAGCATGATGTATACCGTGAATCCATTGTCTTCAGAATCCTCACGGGGGTTGTATACAGTATAAGTTCCTCCATTTAACTCCCCTGCCTATAGACACTCATTGTTATGCACTTCAAAGCGAACAATGGAGGTTTCGCGTAATTAGACCATAGCCCTATTCCAGTTAAAGTGCCTGTCCGGGAGCGGTGGTGTGAGATCACGTACAACATCGCAACTGTTTACATGGTTTGTTCCGGGCCAACTGCCCTCGTACACTGAAACCGACACTCAGGACGGAAGGAAGATTGCTCTATCTAGTTCCTTGTCATGTCGAACTAGCCCCTCGGTTAAAGCGTTCGCTCGTCACGCTGAAGGTCGGGTTCCATAATTTTGACTTTTGTTACGCAGTGATATTGGTGTTTAAAGCAGCGCTTAACCAAACTCACTCATTCGTATATCAAGCCCATTGTTGAAATAATGTTGAAGCACACTAGGTATGGTGGAATAGTGCCTTAGTTGGAATGGGATGATCACAATGGTTCAGGAGTATGTCTACTTCATGGACTGGTGACCGATCACCAAAGTCAACATTGGCGATGGGGTAGCCTAGTATATAAGCTATTGCGCGTCACGCCTAAGATTCCCACATGAGTACAATTTGTGAAGCCAATTTCTGGTTCCTCAGAGGGGGCGGTCGGATAGCCTAGTGGTTAAAGTGTTCGCTCGTCACGCCGAAGACCCGGGTTCGATTCCCGACATGGGTACGATGTGTGAAGCCCATTTCTGGTGTCCCCAGCCGCGATATTGCTGGAATATTGCTAAAAGCGGCGTAACACTATACTCACTCACACACTCTGCTTCCTCACCGTGATATTGCTGGAATATTGCTAAAAGCGGCGTAAAACGATACCCACTCACCAATAGTTAATCTCAGATGTGATGGTATTAACAGCGTTTTCATCGCTGATCAATGCCTACATTCCGTGTTCCCGGTTGGGCTATGCTTGCAAACCGTTAAATTTATTTTTTCAGTACAACGCCAAAGACCCATTGACTCACTCATCTACAATTACCATAAGTAATAAGCTTCTTTAAGTACCCAAGCCCATCATACCGGACTCCCATTAAAATATTTGTTTTCTTCCACACCAAGTCAGATAAATAATCCTTTTTGACAGCTGGGTGATGGGCCATTATCATCGAATATTTTAAGTAAACATGGTGTTGATTTTGTCCTGCACCATACTGCAACAGTTCAATATCAACCACGCCACCAGAATCCCTGATACTTGCAAAATCGATCTAGATAAAATGACGATCATCCACCTGTATTAGAGCGTTGCTAATTGAACTTTAGAAGACGGAGCTTGTCCAGCATTTTGTTAAGGAGTTCTTGGTCTAAATTGGCGTTCAATGAGCGTGTGGAGTAATGGAGTTTTTCTGTTTCAGGATGAGCGGCCGATAAGGAAAGAGATATACGAAGGAACAGACATTTTCGTGCTGTGTTTCTCGGTAGTCCAACCGGACTCTCTACAACACGTGCAGGACATATGGTTACCGGAAATACGTCAGATCGCACCGGAGAAGCCATATATTCTAGTCGGAACACAGGCCGATCTTCGTGAAGTGACGACCATTCTCAGACTTCTTCGCACAAACGGACAGAAACCTATCTCAGCGGCCGAGGGAAACACCCTCGCTCGGAAGTTGGGGGCCACGTGCTATGTGGAAGCCTCACCGGAAGTGGAGAAAAAGGTGCGAAGGACTATCAATAATGCTCTTGCGTCTGTGCTTAAAGTTCAAGACGGTTCACGTGACGTACAAGCAAATGTGTGTACAATATTGTAAATGCAACACGTCTTCTCGCGGGCAATGAGACTCAGGAAGGCGAGACATCGGGACCTCTTTTCTGAGGTGTATAAATACATTTAGGAGTACGGTGTGTTTTCTGTGTGCCTTCGAATGAACTGCTACCTTGTATTTCGTGCAATGTTCAAGCCATTCTGCGTGGATGTTCACCTTCCCTTCCCAAGGTCATTTATTCCTTCAGATGACCAGCCTTGACCAGTCTCAGATAGTTTATCGTCTTCTACGCGAGTTGAATTACAGATGAGAAGGGAAACATGGTGCGTCTGACCCATATATTTTTCTAGTCCGCGTATATATTTCGCCCGTCTTGTTGAGCCAAGTCGCAAGAGGTCAACCCTCACGTCAACTGACCAATGTCTTTCTGGTTGTCGTCTGCTCGATGTCGCAGATGTGAACAGATCTGAATTGAAACTGGGAAACACAATTCATATGTACCTACGTTTGTAGACTTTATCAGAACATGTAGCTTATCGATGTAGCAAATTGTTTCCGCAAAATAACAAATAGTAAAGCTTCATGTTTTTAAACCGGCACTGCAGTCGAACCCCATTGTCTCGAACCTAGCGGGACCGTGTTGTAACTTCGAGATATCCGGGCAATCGAAGTAGTAAGGCATTCCCAACAAGAGAACGGGTTCGAGATAACGGTGTTCGAGATAACGAAGTTCGACTTACAATATTAATAAATTAACACGACGTTTTGGGATGTTCAACCACAAAACAGGTTTTTGTGCAATGAAAGATCGCAACATTTGATCCATACTACTCAAAATAAGTTAAGAACACCCGATTAATTTATATGTATAAAGTTAATCTGTCAGGGCAATTCATAATTCGTGGATTTCCGTATTTAGATGTATCGCAGTACGGGAAAATTGTCTTCAACAATTTATCTTATTCTGATAATGTACAACCACCCGTTCTGTGTGTGTAATTAGAGGGATTTATTTAGATCTGGTTAGAGGTCGATATTCGGCCCCAAGTCTGCAGCAAATATAAAGTAAAGTTGCCAATTCATGTTAATATAGTTATAACTAATGTTTCGGCTATGTCGATTCCACTGATAACATGATCCATTTGGAGGACGAGGCTTTAAATGTATGATTGGATTGAATGTAGAGTAAATTTCAGTGTGTGGTCCCTCGGAAAAAAACAAACTTTTAAACAATCCCAGGTTTGAAACAAACAACAACTGTTTCGCAATTGAATGACAACTTGAAGGTAATTTAGTTTGGAATCCAAGATAAATCTCTGGTAATTGCATTAAGGACAATCGTTACTTTTAACACTTATTTCTGACGAAGTTCTTATGTTCAGACTATTTCTACTTCACCCTTTAGAACTTAAGCCCACAATTTTAACACAGATGAACACTAACATCTTGGCTATTTTAATAATGTATAACACACAACGTTTATAGCAGTATCACAGGTATTGCATTGGACAAGAAACGCCATTGTCACGGAATGGCATTACAAACACGTCTTAAGGAGTCGTTATATGGTGATTTAACCATTGCTCTTTGTCAGGCAAAGGAATATTTACATCCTATTAATGTTCTTTATCTTGTCATTTATAAATACCCTTTATTATCTTGTTTACTCCGACTAGATATGAACTCTCTGCAATCAAATATATGATGAGGTAATACATAACGGTAGTATTTCTATTTTGAGGATACGTAAAGAACTAGTTTTACTGCGCTGTCACGTGAGCTTATATTTTCTCATCACGTTCCCTGATGCTCACAAAGTCCTCACCGTGCTTAACGGTTATTAAATGGCACGCTATATGACATTCATTAATCGTATTTTGAGTGAAATATTTCGCCCGAGGGAGATATTTGTATAAATACATAGCCAAGTAACCTATATCAGGCACGTTTTACCATACAAGGAACACTGACCTAATTAGGCTTTGTTGTGCCGCCCTGGGGCTATGTTTTGACGGTCAACCTTGACCTTTTTCGAAAATATATCTTTACTTGGGTCCTTTTGTTTTCGTTGACAAGTACATTGTCCGATCTGAACAATAACAAAGCAGACTATTGCAAGTGAAGCAAGATTTGTTGATATTTTATTTTATTTATTTATTAACGTACATATTTAGCATCACGATTTTGATATACATATATTATTTTAAAACTTGTAAAATATGACACAGAGTTTTGTAATGCAGCTTTAGAAGATGTTTTCACTTTGATCATGTAACAATGATTTGTTGAATGCTACCTTATTAATGTAAGGATCACGTAATGATATTTAGCAAATTTGGAAATTGCTGCAAATATGTAAATATAACTTTAAATTATGCTGTGAAATAAATTTTGAATACAATTCTTTATTTTATGTTTTCACTTCTACGTACCTGTGAAGTAGTTCAAGCAATAATGTTTATACCTTCTTGGCCTTCACTGTATGATTTGTTTGTTTGTTGTTTAACGCCGCATTCAGCAGACGGCGGTCTGTAAATAATCGAGCCAGGACAAGACAATGCGGTGATTGACATCATGAGCATCGATCAACGCAGGAGGGATACGATGACATGTATCAACCAAGTCAGCAAGCCTGACCACCCGATCCCGTTAGTCGCCTCTTACGACAAGCATAGTCGCCTATTACGGCAAGCATGGGTTGCCTATGACCAATTATAACTCGGATCTTTACGGGTGCCATCTTCGTGGATGCTCGACTTCCCTTCCCAAGGTCATTTATTCCTTAAGATGACCAGCCTTGACCAGTCTCAGATAGTGTATCGTCTGCTACGAGAGTTGAATTACAGATGAGAAGGGAAACATGATGTGTCTGACCCATATATTTTTCAAGTCCACATATATATTTCGCCCGTCTTGTTGGGCCAAGTGGTAAGAGGTCAACCCTCACGTTAACTGGCCAATGTCTTTCTGGTTGTCGTCTGCTCGGTGTCGCAGATGTGAACAGATATGAACTGAAACTGAGAACCCAAATTCATATGTACCCACGTACCGATAGCTTATCGATGTAGCAAAGTTTTTCCGCAGAATAACAAATAGTAGAAGCTTCATGTTTTCAATCCGGTGCTGCAGTCTATGTGAATTAGTAATGGTACTTTTCAAGGGACTTTTGATTTGATAACAGTGTTGGATATGATATTTATAATTATATAACAAAACAGGAAACAAATTGAAGGTTCTTAAATTAATATACATATTTGATATTTGTTTGGTTTCGTCCCACTGTGAGGGTACGGTGCCACACAATCAACCAAGGCACGAAAACTGACCACGATCCATTTAGTCGCCTCTCAAAACAATCATATATTGCCGGGTACCTATTTTAACTCGGACTCCCAATGGTGTACAAATAATGATGTGCTTACAAAGTTGCATCAAGAAATATTGAATGATTTATTAAAAAGGTTTTGCTGCGGAGTGGTTAGAAAACATTATTGAACATTATCGTGCTATGGCGATTTTTCATACCTTATTGATATCAAATCGTAATAATAATCGCGTATTACTCAAATACGTATGAATTAAAATATTTCGAGAAAAACGGATCGGGTCTGGTCAATTCACGTCATAACCTGTCTCACTCAATTGAAGTCTAGTCTTGTCAGGCTCTCATCTAAGCACGTCCCCGAACAACCAGTAATCTTAATCAGTGACATAAACATTGACACCACCCTTTGCCAATGATTCCGAAAAGGCATGTGAACCTTAGGTCAACGGACTTAGACCATCACTGGTCTACGCAGCAACGCTATAGTTTATGTATATCCAGGTTGAAGTGTTAATCTTGTTTGATCAGATAGTGCTGACAACTAATCTCATCTCACACGATCAGGGTCAGTGTATATTCTGATGACGAGGGAGGGGGGGGGGGGGGGGGGGGGGGGGGGGGGGGGAGATAGTATAAGTTGTAGCAGGATCACGAGGGGAACATAGTTTTAGGCATCCCGCGGTAGGTTAGGTTTGTTTGTTGTTTAACGCCGAACTCGGTAATATTCCAGCTATATGACGGCGTTCCGTAAACAATCGAGTCTGGAACAGACAATCCAGGGATTTACATCATGAGCATCGATCCACGCAGTTGAGATCGTAGGCGAGTGGTATAAAAAATAAAGAGGGACGTATAAAACCTCATGTACCCCGAGTAATCTTGCTACAACGGATGTATCTTACCGACATGTTTTAATTTGCTATTGGGAAAGAATTAAAAGCAAATTTAAGATTGATAGAAAACAGCTGTTCGATTGAGCTGAGGTTAACTTGTGCCATGTCACGTGACTTTTATTGAAAAGCGTGCGGCTTTTTTCTTCGAAGTGGGGTATATAAGGGATTTATTCTAATCTAATTCTAATCCACGTGCATCCCGTTTTCTTCGTGCCGGGGTAGGGTATAAAGGATTTATACTCCCTCTTCGAAATGTATTTCCTTCGCAGACGGGATTCATAGCATCTTATCAAGACCACATGGACCAATCAGATCACGTCATTCTAACATGGAGGTATGATGAAGTATTTTGTGAAGATCTCGTGGACCAGTCAGATCTCGTCATTCTAACATGGAGGTACGATAACTGTGATTATCCAGCGCTAGGATACAGACATGGGAGTAACACTTCTGTGTTTACATTCTATCGTCTACCTATGTGTCCGAGCAAGTCCGGTATTTGACCTTTCCTGAGTTTGGACATTCACGTTTAGGCTTGACCAGCCTGTTTTCTTGTTTGTAATACATGCCCAACATAATTACTTGAAAAGTCGTCACTGAAACTTCTGTCAAGGAAACTTTACCCAAGACAACATGTAGTCCACTAGTAGGAGGAGGGGAGGGGGGATATATGCATGAAAACACAAACCACAAACTGACCCTCCCCAATGTTAAACTTTGTTTTACATGTCCCTGTCTATTGCCATTGACATTGTACCATATATGTTACCTCCGAGCTAACATAGGTTTCCAAAATATCACGTCTGTCTTAAGAACCGCCTCAAGAGTGGTCACAGTGTTTGTTTGTTTGTTGTTTAACGCCGCGCTCTGCAATATTCAAGCTATATGACGGCGGTCTGTTAATAATGGAGTTAAAAGGCGACTATGTTCGTCGTTATAGGCGACTAACGGGATCGGGCAGTCAGACTCGCTGACTTGGTTGATGCATGTCATCGTATCCCACTTGCGTTGATCGATGCTCATGATGTCAATCACTGGATTGTCTGGTCCTGACTCGATTATTTACAGACCGCCGTCATATAACTGAAATATTGCTGAGCTGGCATATTAGCCGCCTCTTACGACAAACATAGTCGCCTGTTACGGCAAGCATGGGTAGCTAAAGACCTGTTATAACCCGGATCTTTACTGGTCTTCTTGGCTTCTCAGCACCATGCTCTTGTTTTTAAATTTCACCAAAGTGGTTAGCGTTGACATCACTTTGGGCATTCAACAGACATCCAACTGACACGTCACGATATTCCTGAAATACTGTTAACCCAACACACTCACTACCTTGTGTACCCGTGAACACCAAGGGTAGAATAGGTCGTCAGCAACCCATGCTTGACGTAAAAGGCGACTATGCTTTTCGTAAAAGGCGACTAACGGGATCGGGTGGTCAGGCTCGCTGACTTGGTTGATGCATGTCATCGTATCCCAATTGCGTGGATCAATGCTCATGAAGTCAATCACTGGATTGTCAGGTCCAGACTCGATTATTTACAGACCGCCGTCAAACAGCTTGAATATTGCGGGGGTGTTTCTCAATTCCTCCACACACACCATGGGCTACCTAACTAATCTCAAGTTATTAAAGGATTTGTTGTCAGAAAAAAATCTAATAATTGAACTTATTTTGGCTTCACGATGCTAATAACCCACCTCAACGTCATTAATACCATTAATGTAATATGTCGGACCTACGTTATAGGTAAGAAGACAAATGTCAAACGCGACAGACAACGATATATACTGTCTGATATTCCGCATTTTGACACAGCTGTTTCAAATCAGATAACTGAAACAAAACGGGCGTTATACAACAACAAGCGTTTGACACAGTTTGCCCTTGGGTTATGTAAGGCAAAGCAGAAACGGGTTTATTTGTGTGTGTGTGTGTGTGTGTGCGTGCGTGCGTGCGCGTGCGTGCGTGCGTGCGTGCGTGCGTGCGTGTGTGTGTGCATGCGTGTGTGTGTGTGTGTGTGTGTGTGTGTGTGTGTGTGTGTTTCTCTGCGTGTGTAATATTCCAGCTATAAATAGCACGGCGGTCTATGAATATAGAGGATCAGACAGTCCAGTGATTTATAATGCGGGCAACGATCCACGCCGTCAACATCAACACACCATCAACATCAAACAAGTGGTTAACAGTATGAGCAACGGTCATCACTTCCGGAACCGTTGACCGCTGGATGAGCCGGGAGGAATGGAAACTCACCCAATAAGAATATTATTAGGAAATTTTGAAATCACGCCCCGGGGTTTGGTTGTAAACGTAAACACAGGGAGAGGGCGTTTCGACCAAAACCGGGAAGTGTTTTCTCTGGAATATAAATCGTCACAAACAAATTCGAAGCGTTATTTTTTTTTTCTTAAACACCAATCTGCAACCGGTTCAGCCGGTTCTCATGAAACCGGATTAACATGAGGCGAGGATCACGAGCTTCACGTGGAAAACGCGGGTTACCTGCACGTGGTCTGAGCAAATCTTCAGGAGCAGCCATGAAAGGCCGTGCTAGTAGGATGCTTTGTTCGATTGATTAAAAAGTACAGATTATTGTGGTGAGTGGGTTTATGCAATGGAGTAAAATGGATGGCATAGGGCTCCATGTATCGTTTGACAAATCAAAGCTCTAAATCACGATAATATCTGTTTTCCGCATTTTAACTCTGATTTGCGCTAGAATTTAAAGTTAATGGCCCGTTATGAAACTGCTAATACATACACTGAGTTAAGTGGAAAACGTATCATCTGTGTAATATCACAAATCTATATTATTATACGTGTACATTTTAGCACGAGGATATTAAAGGAAGGACGCGTGTTTTATTCAACTTGTATAAATGTTTACGAGACCCGTAAAGATCCGGGGTAGAATAGGTCTTCAGCAGACCATGCTAGCCATAAAAGGCGACTATGCTTGTCGTAAAAGGCGACTAACGGGATCGGGTGGTCAGACTCGCTGACATGGTTGGTGCATGTCAACGATCCCATTTGCAGGGATCGATGTTCATGATGTCAATCACTGGATTGTCTGGCCTATACTTGATTATTTACATACCGCCATCATGTAGCTGGAATATTGCTGAGTGTGGCGTTAAACAGCAAACAAACAAACAAAAAATGTTTACGGTTAAATC